TTTTCAGAGGGCGCTGGTGTTGCTGGTTTTTTGACGTAGAAATATCGATTAAAAGTATTAAAACTGACAACTGACAATGTTATGAATGTTGTTATGAACATGTGCATTTTATTAAAATTAATTTAATTTGGGCCCCGTATATTTCTTTTAGTCTGATTTTGTTGTTTAATTAATTTTCTTTGGGGGGGAATATTTTTGCATATTATTTTTTGCATGAAGCAATTTCTGGAACCAAACTCGCGTTTTTGTACACATTTCTTTCTAGAGGTAAGTAATTTCCAATTTATTAAGAAAACCACTGTATAATGTGTGTGTTTAATAATATATTACACAATGACTATAATTATTTAGGTGAATTGGAACAGAGATCCATTGTTACAGCTACTTGTGTTCATTAAGTAGGTAGATGAATGTCTGGACAGCTTTAATGGCAGCACAAAGTTCCTATCTACTAGAAAAGTAAAATGTATGCTGAGTAAAAAATCTGCACATGTAGTATTGGCAAAGGACGTTTGAAATGATTAGAGATTAGCTATTTCTTACATACACCTACCTCTAACAGCCACTCTAAAGGAAGAAAAAAAAATTGAATCACAAAAGGGCAGAATTTTAAATCAGGATGCATTGGAAAATAAATTTGGGGACATCAGGTCGGTTTTGGATTTTATAGAGAGATCAATCTCAAGAAAAGGTAATTTATCCTGCAGAACAACCAGTAGTTTAAGTAGGATTTGCTATAACTTTATTAGAAATTTTCTTTGATAATAAATTGTAATATAGATACCAATTATTGTTTCCAATGAAATTGAAAAAGAGTTAAATATGAAATTAGATTTTTCATGAGTAAAATGTTATATTCATTCGAACATTGTAAGGTAATCTATAATTAAGGGAATATGGAAAATAGGTATACCCTGGTGGTGTAAGAGAAAGGTAAGGGGCAATGACAAAAAGATTACAAAAATGTATTTATCTTTAAATAGTGTTTATTATTAATATTATTTGCTATGTTTGAAAAGTACCTCCTGCTTCTGAACAGATTGAATAGATTAGACTACTAGTTGGAGAAGGTCCACCTAGTAACCAAATTAGGAGACTAGAAAAACTTTTACATGACTGGGGACACAACAGGAATGCACACACACAAGATACACAAACAAACGAAATAACAGGGGTAAGCCTTCAGCAACGTCCTGTTTAAATGATGATAGTATGTCATCCTTCATTCCCTTTTAGAAGGCATGGCATATAAATATATTGATCTTGATTACTATAAGAGGAGTTAGCAGGGGTCTAGCAGGTTTCGATCCAGTTTACAGGATGGGAACTTACTTGACTCGGGCCTTATACATTTGTGTTGAGTGTATGTGTGTTTCGTTTCCATGGTTTCTATTAAAATAAACAGTCATAACATATCCATACCTCTTTGCCAGACTAACATAAGTGACATTTGTTCAAATGGCACTTACGATAGTCTGGCAAAAAGGTATCGATACTATACTTTATAAAATATTTGTTACATTAGTTTTTAAATATATTATGAATATATAACAACTGTTACTTTCTTTGTAATTTGTCACAAAATGATAGGAGGTACTTTCTAAATGAAGCAATTGTAGTTTGTTTTTCTGTACCTTACAAAAATATAATTTATAGAAAAAGAGTTTGGTGTATTATTTTTCCAAGTTTAAATATTTAATAATCAATAGAATTTTCAAGTTTTTTTTTAGCGAAATTTACAAGAGTAATAAAAACTATGTTCACTGTTTATATTAAACTGATTAAAACTTCCTTTATTAAAATGATTATTTATGTGATAAAAAATTTGATGTTATTGGAAGCTTTTATATTTTTTTAATATACAGTGAAACAATAGTTTTTGTTTCTCCTGTAAATTTGTATAGAAAAACTTTATTTCTGAATCCATGTTTGAATTTCCCGCCCTAAAGCATTTTTAATTTTCCCGCTATTTACTAGTGGCGCCATCATAGACTGGTTGTGGTTACAATCGCCCAAATAACTTTTACCGAACAAAAAAAATACATTGAGTTACACGTCTCGCTGGATTGTCTCTGATAGTTGGTAACAAGTTTGCTTGACCTCGACAGTAGCGCGCTAAGCGCTTACGGTTGAACTACACCTGTCAGTTTCAGCCGATAAAGTAGAACACTACTAATTAGAGCGATTTAAAAATTGGCGGGCTTAGTAATTTAGAATTTGAAGCACTTTGAAGTAACATTTTCCTATTTGACAACTTTTACTTACAACTACTAAACAAACAATAAGTTTAGTGAATTTTTGTTGTAGGTAAATGTTGAAAAATGGAAAATGTCACTTGTTTTAACTGAAAAATAAAATTAGTTGAAAAATAAAACACATTTTTAACAAGTTTAATTTATTTAGAATTACCATGTAATTACATGTGTTTCATTTTGAACATAACAAGCACTATATCACACACTAAATTACTGAAAAATAAAAATATAATATGATAACCAGCATAGCACATGACAATGTTTTTGTTATTAAAAAAACCGGATATAGTTTTTATAAAAAGTCAAAGTAGTTCATTATAAACACAATTGTTTTAATGTTTTAAATATCCCTTATTAATCCAAGGACAAATCATTCTAATTCTAATATTCTTATACTTATTGTCCCTTTAAGGCCTTTCCGCGTCTATTTCAATCTAGAATAGTTGTAATGCCTATTTCGGGTACAATAAGCCTCCAGCTTCAATACAGGTGGGCTTTGAAACTCACCCTAATTAAGAAACACATTTATGTACATTCCAAAAATCTCCATACCGAGGAATATCTAAAACAAAACAAAACAAAAATAAAGGTGCAGTGTGTATCTTAAAATTAAAAATTAACAAGAGTCATAACTTTTTTAAATTTTTAAATTTTTCTTGCAATAAAAGGTATAAAAATTTCAATAAAAATAGAAAACATATCTGATTTATGATCTTAATAGGTGAACTAAGCAAAAATTAACAAGTTGACCTAAATAGCATATAAGTTTTTGAACATATTTGGGTATTATTTGATAAATATAATAATGAATATCACCCAAAAATTGGACAATAACTTTTTGAGCACAAATCATTGGCCTTTTTTCATCTTGGTCTTTATGAGTAAAACTAGGATGAGGTTCTATAATATTTGTTTGTAAACATAGTTCGCTCACAACTCCTTTCATTTTTTTGACCACAAATGTTTAAAATGTGGATCCATTTATCTCTAATAGCAGGAAAAACATAAAATTTCTTGTTAGTTTTGTGAGAAAAATACTTACTTCTGCAATTAAAATTTAAATGAATTGTTAATGATTTTCTTAAGAACCTCCCTATAGTTAAATTAGTTAAATCTAACTTACACTTAATACAATTTACTTACCTACATTTGAAAAAAATATCACCTGCATTTGAAAATGAAAATAATATCAGGCTGACATATTTACAGCAACATAACCTAATTTATTTTCAAAGCCAGATTTACACCATCTAATAATATTTAAATTTAGCTTTAACTTTAAATTTGTTAACGATTATCCCTCTATTTGATCACACATTATCTTAAAGTGAAATTTAAAGGGGCAAATCAGTAAAATTATTGATTTCTTTTTCATTATTTTTGAAAACATATTTTTTTATGGGTGTAAAACGGGTTTGAATTTAGTGATAGCAGCGCGCTAAGCGCTTACGGTTTAACTACCAACAAGGAAACAAGTCCCGCCATTTATTCAAACCTTCTCTTTTTATTTTTCTATGCTGACGACCAGGGATCCCAGATGTACTGAGCCTAAATTCGTGAGCTTGATCGTGTAAAAATCGTGAGAAATCGTGACATTGTACTACGCATGCGCAGTTTAGCTAAATATATATATAGTATTTTCGATTTTGATGAACTTTGTCCGAGAGAAGAGCAAGGAATGACCGACTTTTAAATCTCAGTACATCTCTATCGATAGTGTGTTACTATCGAAAACTATCGATTGTTCGATAGTTTAAATTTACATGTTTTTAGTAGTTTTTAAATTCATTTTCACGCAATTCGATCAAATAAACTAAAATTATAAGAATGCACTCAGCAAATTCAGCACTATAGATGATAAATCTGTTTTAAAGATTGCCCTAATTTGTTAACATACGCACGCCACAAATGTGACTGCTGCCTCCACCTGTTTTCTTATGTCTCTGCTTACCTACTGGTACATTTTTTTATTTCAAATATTATTTTTTTTTCTATAAATAAAATGTAATTCTTTAGTGTACTACGTATCAACCGTTGAATCAACGTTGGTATAGTTTAGATAGTACTATTACTATTGATTTGATAGTAATTCTTGAGACTATTAAAAATATGGATAGGGCCAGATATGGAAAGTATCCGACCACTTGCTGGGGACTGTCAAGTGTTGGTCGTCCGTCATTATCGGCCAACGCATTAGCACGTTCCTGGGTTGGACTTTACAGCATAATTCAATTGTTTGATTAATTAAAAAGAATCGTTTTACACAAAAACTTAAGGTTCGCTACTGCAAGCAGCTTGCTAAAAAATATCGTGAGATTCAGGCGCATTATCGTGAGATCGTGAGTACTAAATCGTGAGATCTCACGATAAATCGTGAGATCTGGGATCCCTGCTGACGACGATTCTAAATTTCAGCGGGGTCGAAATTGACGGATATGATTGACTCGTGGTGGGGGTTGAATCGACATTGCCAGGTTTAATAATATGTTTCTATTTTGTGAGATATTATTTTTGGGCTTTATTAGGCGCCGGGACTTATTTGCCGCAGCTACCTTATCATGCAATTGGTAGTTTTTATTACCAAGTTTTTTTTTTAGAATTCGACATCTGCTGCTTGCCAAACTTTCAATGTTGGTGGTCGGAATGTGGAGGCTACCTCTGGAGTCTTCAACTAAGACTCAAAAATTGATGTATAAATGTTATTCCGTCTTTACTCAATTGTATTACATGTATTATCTCGTAGCGATGTGCATTGGATGTTTTCCACTTGGAAAGGTCAGCATAGGAGTAACAATGGAAGGATTAGAGATAATAATTCTGTTATCAATTATAGCTATAAAAATGTACATTTGTCAACGAAAAGGATTTATTGAAATAATTGATTATATTTTGAACTATGAGAAAAACATCAACGAACTTGATACAGAAATTTGTGATTTATACAAAAGTTATGCTTTGTATACAAAAAAAATGTGTATATCTCTACTCTCGATTTCATCTATGTGTGGTATTAATATGACTATCAGTACGCTTATTCTCTACGCCCAACAGATGCACAGCAAAGATGAACTTGTCCGCGAAAAGGATAAACCATTACCGTACGCAATGTGGCGACCAGTAAATGAAAAAGACCATTATTTCATTTGTTTTTGTCTAGACATTATATCAATAACTTTTGGGTGTAGCTTTAATACAGTTACTCAGTTAATATTCTTTTCGATTTTAACTTTTGTAGCTGGTCAATTGGAGATATTACAAGCACAATTTAGACGTTACGGATCTTTATGCGCGCAACGAGACACTTTCGAAAAAAAATTCGAAATATTAAAGAAATTAATAGTGGAACATCAGCAAATCATCGCGTAAGTATTATTATTATTATTATTATTAGATTATTATTATTATTATTATTATTATTATTTACTGACATGAGCTATTCAAAAATAAACAATTTTCTTTTAATCTATAAACTATAACTATAAATTGATATAAAAAAAATGACTATAACTATAAAGACAATAAATAACGTTGCTACATTATTTAATTTTTTGTGATTATAATTTATTGTCTCTATACAGATATACCTACTTAGCCTAATTAATCAAATTTGTTTTTAAACTGAAGGTGCGCATACAACTCTATCAGGTAAATTGTTTCATGCAGAGAAAACTCGGTTTGAAAGAAAATTTAGCTTAACTCTAGAGTTAAAATTTTCCTCTTTTAATTTGAACATGTGCCCACGTAGGTGCAGGTCATTATTTAATACAAATAAATCCGAAAGATCGACACCGAACATATGTCTAATTGTGCGAAAACAAATGATTAAATCACCACGCAGTCGACGCTCACTAAAAAGAATCAGATTAGCCGTAGACATTTGATGTTCATACGGTGGCCGTCTTATACCATACAAAAGCTTTGTAGCAAGTCGCTGCACATTTTCCAACCTCTTTTGATCCGAGATTAATACGGGACACCAAACAGGACCACAGTACTCCAGGCGAGGACGAACATATGTTGTGTACATTTTCAAAAATATTGAGAAAGAAATATTGCCAAAAGTCTTTTTTAATAAGAATAGTTGAGAGTTTGATTGTTTGCTTACTGATAATATATGCTCTAACCACGTTAAGTCTTTAGTAATGATAATGCGAAGATCATTTTGGGACGGTACTGTCTTTAAGGCATTATTATTACTTTCCTATCTGTATACAGATATAAGGAAAGTATAGGAATCATGATTTTTTTCGACCTCGAGTTTTCGACGGATTTTTACGTTTTGAGGTCCCCTGAATCCGTTTTGACTATTTTCGCGATGATGTCTGTGTGTGTGTGTGTGTGTGTGTGTGTGTGTGTGTGTGTGTGTGTGTGTGTGTGTGTGTGTGTGTGTGTGTGTGTGTGTGTGTGTGTGTGTGTGTGTGTGTGTGTGTGTGTGTGTGTGTGTGTGTGTGTGTGTGTGTGTGTGTGTGTGTGTGTGTGTGTGTGTGTGTGTGTGTGTGTGTGTGTGTGTGTGTGTGTGTGTGTGTGTGTGTGTGTGTGTGTGTGTGTGTGTGTGTGTGTGTGTGTGTGTGTGTGTGTGTGTGTGTGTGTGTGTGTGTGTGTGTGTGTGTGTGTGTGTGTGTGTGTGTGTGTGTGTGTGTGTGTGTGTGTGTGTGTGTGTGTGTGTGTGTGTGTGTGTGTGTGTGTGTGTGTGTGTGTGTGTGTGTGTGTGTGTGTGTGTGTGTGTGTGTGTGTGTGTGTGTGTGTGTGTGTGTGTGTGTGTGTGTGTGTGTGTGTGTGTGTGTGTGTGTGTGTGTGTGTGTGTGTGTGTGTGTGTGTGTGTGTGTGTGTGTGTGTGTGTGTGTGTGTGTGTGTGTGTGTGTGTGTGTGTGTGTGTGTGTGTGTGTGTGTGTGTGTGTGTGTGTGTGTGTGTGTGTGTGTGTGTGTGTGTGTGTGTGTGTGTGTGTGTGTGTGTGTGTGTGTGTGTGTGTGTGTGTGTGTGTGTGTGTGTGTGTGTGTGTGTGTGTGTGTGTGTGTGTGTGTGTGTGTGTGTGTGTGTGTGTGTGTGTGTGTGTGTGTGTGTGTCTGTATAACGCATAACTCATGAACCGATACACGGAAAAACACCAAATTTCAAACTTAAGCTTTTTTCTAGCGTCTCATGTGCTGATTAGATTTTGGACAGAGTCGGAACATCTGGAGGGGTACTTTATAGGTGGTCATTTTTATATTTTATGGAATATATCTGTTATTTACGTTTGGGGAAGAAAATTCTTTAAATGAAAGTTACTTCTTATTTTATTATCTATAATTTTTATTATATACAAAATTTTCCTAAAATGGTCCGTATTCGCGAAATTTGACAAAATGTAAAAAAATATTTTTTTTTATAAAAATTGTTCAAACAAAAGTTGTTTGTAATATAATTCTCTATAATTTTTATCCTATAGATAATTTCTCTAAAATGGACCGTATTCGAGATATTTGAGAAAATGTGTAAATTTCGAAATTTGAAGAAAACTCAAAAACGGATAAAGAAAAAAACATTAAATTTTAAACTTAAGTTTTATTTCGGCCTGACGTGAAATGATTAGATTTTGGACAAAGTCGGAACATCTGGGTGGGTACTTTATGGGAGGCCGTTTTTATATTTTATGGAATATATCTGTTATTTATGTTTGGAGAAAAAAATTGTTCAAATAAAAGTTACTTCTAATATTATTATCTATAATTTTTGTTATATGTAAAAATTTCCTGAAATGGTCCGTATTCGAAAAATTTGACAAAATGTGCAAAATTCTGATTTTTATGAAAATTGTTGAAATAAATGTTGTTTGCGATATCGATCTCTATAATATTTGTTCATACATGATTTTTTTAAAATGGACCGTAATGGAAAAATTGTAGGAAAAGTGCTAAATTTAAATTTTTTCAGTATTTTAATTTTCAATGAATATCTATAGAAAAATGTTTCGCGGTAGATGTGTGTGGACAATGTATATATTTAGTTCATCCTCTAAACATTTATAGAGATGCTGCAATAGGTTGTACAAAATAACCGGAAAAAGCCTGTAATAACTAGATAGGAAAGTCATGTGTTGGACACATCAGATTTTTAATATTATACGCCAATTTAGGATTGTTTTTACCGATATGAAGAACAACACATTTATCAATGTTTAGCGTTAATAACCAGTCTGAAATCCACGTTGATACCGCACTTAGAACAGATTGAAGAGACCGACACCCGTATGCATAGTTAATCGCCAGCGATTCATCTCGGGGGTATCACCAGAGATCCGCTGGCGAAAGCCCGTAGAGGTGGCGACTTGCAAGTTTTCATGTTCTTTAAAAAAGATGAAACAAGTTCAAGAAAAATAAGGTATAAAACATGAATTTCGGCAATCATTAGTGCTATATTCACAAGATTTTGCCTGTGATCTGACATCTAATATCTCTATTCACATTATTTAACATATCTAAATTATGATCCATTTCTTAAAACGTAAAAAACAATGAACGAATATCAAATTTTTAAAAACTTGCGAGAGATGCCGGTGACAATTCGCCATTTTTTCGGGATTCGTCAGCGGATAGCAGGTAATACTGCCGAGATGAATCTCTGTCGTATCGCTGGGGATCGACTATGCATACGGGTGTGATAATCTGCAATTGGATTAGCGTAAATTTTTGTATCGTCTGCATAGAAGGAACGACAGATTTTTATGTACACAGATATCGACAGTATAAAGTAGAAGAAGTAGGGAAACAAGGACTGATCCTTGAGGCACTCCACTGACAACGGATTTGGTTTGAGAGAAACTATTACCAACTCTTACGCGAAATTGTCTGGAGGTTAAGAAGTCCGTTACTCAAGCTATTAAGTTGCCTTGAATTCCTAGGTGTTCAATCTTTTTGAGAAGTTGGTGTTTTGGAACTCTATTAAAGGCTTTAGAAAAATCCAAGTATATAACATCTGTAGGAAGACCAGCATCTAAGGCTTTTGTCCAGTCATTGACAGACTGCAGGAGATTAGTTAAGGTAGATCGTCCTCTGATAAACCCATGTTATTGGGTGGGAAGTACACGTTCGTTAACGAGAAAGTCAGTTACCTTATCACATATTATGGACTCCATTACTTTACAACTATTGGTACAAGGCTTATTGGTCTATAAATATTTGGGTCAAGCTTATTGCCCTTTTTGAATGTGGCAGTTACTGACGCAGTCTTCCATATAGACGGCAGGATATGAGAATTAAATTACGAGGTCATTATACAGGAGATGGGATAACAAAGAGTGTCAGCACAAGATTTTAATAGAAAATTCCACACCTGTAATTTTGAACCAATCAAAATACGTGTTTTTGACAGATCACCATGGCAACGGAGGTATTTTAGTGGAAATTTTTTTCTCGTGGGGTACCCAACAGCGAATTATACTGGAAATTTTTTGACGTTTACAATAACAGACCATTTTTGACAGACTGGTTTTTATTTGTTCACATAATAGGTTTAGTTTTGATACATTTTAGTTACAATGCTAAGGTGTTTTCTATATTCTTCGGCCACTTCTTTTCTTCTTAATGGCGAAAATGCAGGACTTTGGATGCTTTGAATTATGTGTCTATGTCTAATAAAATATATATAATATTTAGATTCACCTTTTTCCCATTCAGCACTTTGAATTTTGGGTAGTTTAGGTGCAAATATTCGTGGACAATTCGGAACAAATTTTCGTTTTTCAAGTTGGAGCCACAATCCTCTATTAATCCGAGTAAGTAAGTCATGGTGCAATGATTGATCATTACATCAGACAATTTCACGCATATTTTGCATAGCGTATGATTTTCAAATCGATTCATTTTTAAACAAATAGGTAATTTTGTTGGTTTTACTTGCTGTGCAATATTCTTTATCGCAACAAAACGTGAGTTATTTAATGTTTTGAACTGTCAAAATACAATGATCACAGCCTCCTACGATTGATGCTTGCTGACGCTGGTTAAGAATTTCATACCATTTTAAAGCGCTCATAACGCATGTTAATAAAAACGCAGAAAAACAATTTTCTACCACTTGTAGTTATTCAAAACTTACGTAAAATTAAAGAATATACTATTTTCTATTTTCAAATGGTATTCCCATGCAACTACAATAAGTAGAAATAAGCAATTTGAAGGCCTAAATAATTGCAGCGAAACATTTTTTTACGTCGGGCCGCTTGACAACTTCAAAACTGAAATTATATTCGAGGTTAGGGTCTCACTTAGTTACCATGACAACTCAACAATCAAGGCGACAACACCTTTTATGTTTCACTGGTGACTTGGAGAAAATAATTTGCATTGTTGAGAAACGAAAAATAAATTTTAAAAATATTTAATTT